CAGTTGGGTGGGAGGTGGAGGCATGGGGGCGGGGCGGGGGTTGTTCCGGGCTCACAGGGCGGGAGCGTGCTGGGCAGGGTCAGGAGAAGGGGAGGGAAGAGCCAAGGCTGGGATTGATGCGGGAAGGAGCCAATGAGAAGCCCGCACAGGGAAGGGGGAGGGGCTTCCGGTCCCACCTTCTGCCTTGCCACTGTTGAGTCCTGTGCTGGGGGGGAGGTGTATACTTGTGGTTTGGGTGGGGGGAGGTTTCTAGTGGGGCTTTCCCCAGGTCTCCCCCCAGTCGGGGGAGTTGTGCTGCTTTGCACCACTGGAGCCTGAAGCACCTCCAGCTGGAGGCAGGGAAGTTCCCTGAGCTTGCCTGACCAGAGTACCTAGAGTGCTGCCTGTTTGTAAAATTCATGAGTCAATCCCCACTCAAGGAGAAAAAGTCCTTCCTTCCCTCCTTTTATGGACTTTGAGCCCTCAAGTCACAGTTTTTAAATGTTTCTCTGCTGCCTTTTGGACGCACACCTTGTTGGAGTTATTTGACCCCAACCGTCTTTCCTGCGCAGGGCAGGGGGGCTCGACCCAATGATGTCACAAGGTCCCTTTCAGCCCTAAACTTATGTGAATCTGTGACAGAAGTCTTCCATCCCCGCCATGAAAGCTGCACCTCCCATCACAGGACTCCAGAAGCTGGAGCCTTAAGTATCAAATCCTGCAATGCAATCATGGGAGGTGATACCAATGCTGGCTCCATTTAAAAACCTTCTCCGTGGAAATATTGAAAAATAGCTCTTCTTCCTCTCTATCCCTACATTTTGACAGGGGCATTCTTTGGCAGGGCATGGTAGGAATGTGGATGTGGGTGTTAGGGATAAATTATCCCTTCAAATGCTCATGTTACCTACATGACATGAGCTTTGCACGTAAGAGGGACAGAGTGCTGGCATTCAGCCCTTTGTGTGGAGACCTGAGAGCAGAAGGTTATTAAGCGTGTCCTTTTAGAACAAATTATTTTCCCTGCACAAATGCTACAGTTCATAGTAAAATAGTTGATGCTTTGTGTTTGTGAAAGAGCAGTTATTTGGGGAAGAAATCATTTCCAAGCTCCAGTTCTCTGAAAATCAAGTCCTTAACAGGTATTCTCCAAGTTGCACCACCCTCAGGATTATGTGCATAGTACTGAAAGAACTAGGTTTATTTAGTCTAGAGAAGAGATGACTGAAGGTGGGATCTGATCCCAGACTTCAGACACCTGAAGAGACACCATAAGGAGAATGGAAGTGAACTTTTCTTTGTGGCTGTAAGGAACCTGTTTAGGCACAATGGCCTCAAAACTGCAACAAGAAATTTAGATTGGAGTTTAGGAAGAACTTTCTGACTAGGAGGGTGATTAAGCATTGGAACAGGCTATGGAGAGTCATTGTGGACTCCCCAGAAATGTTCAAAAGCAGGTTAGACAGGCAGGGATGATCCTGCCCTGAGCAGAAGGCTGGACCAGATGATTTCATGACATGCTTCCCAGCCTTATTTTGTGATAAGGCTGTGATCTTATATATAACAGTTCTGCCATGTTTCTCATTTGTGCCACTAAAATAACCAGGAAAAAAGGAAGAGGAATTCAACTGTTGTGTTCAAAAACTAAGATCTGCCTCATTGCCATTCTTATCTATATTGTCATTTAATAAATACTCTGAATACAAGTATACTTTTTATTTATTTAAGAAGTGTGCATCCATTACTTTTGGGCAAATGTACAACAGTAAAATCCTATTAATAAAGTCTTTGAGCAGTGGTTATTGTTTCTCTCCTTCTTTAAAATAGGAATTGGCAAGTCACTGCCTAAATGGATTTTAAGGTTTCTCATTTCACTGTAACCTCTGTAAAATACTCTGTTTCCTGTGTTGAAACAGAGGCTTCAGACTCTTTCTACAGCAGTTGCTCCTAAACTTTTTCTGTTTAGCCTTGGGATGGATTGGCTTGCGATGGATTGACTATTAAAACCCTGAACACCATGCCCAGTTATTTTGTCATTGTCAGTTTTCAACCAATTTTCTCTTACTCAATCTTTGTTTGTTTGGTTTGCATTTTTCTTTTGCACAGTTTTTATGGGTTTCCCATCCCATTCCCCATGCAGCAGAAAACTGTGTTGCCAGTTCTTAGCTCCAGGGTGAATCAAATGCTCTTGCAGTTTACCTGAGTGCTATGCTAGCTTGGTTATGTATAGGCTGCAACCTGCAACCCTGTTTACATGAATTGCTTTGTTTGGAGGACAGCCAGCTTCATTAGGAAAATCTGTAGTATCAGAGGTGCAATGTGAATGGTTTGAAAGGAGTCACTTTTCAGTCACGCGCTGTACAATAAGCACAGGTATTCTAGGAATTAGAGTCTCCGGAGGGTCATGTGAAAGCAGGGTGGAAGCAAGACCTAAGAGAAGGCCACCATGCTATAAAAAACCCTGATACTGGCTCAGCACAGGGGAAGGTAGAGTAAAGGAAAGATTTTACATGTTTAAGAGAAAGCTGGAGGATACAACTTTGGCTTACTGGCATGCATAGTGGTCCCTGTGGGGGAAAGACGCAGTGAAAGGACTATGAAGAGATTGATGGAGGTCTGTTGGGAAGCAGGTTGAAAGAAAAATGGGCAGAAAAAAAGCAGACAGCTGCTCTAAGGGAAGGTACTGGCCTGTGTTCTGTAGCAGAGGAGATCGTAAGTCCCTCTGATGCTAACAAGAGTGGTGGCGTGAAAGCATTGTAGAACAGGATTGGAAAATTTTGTGACCCATGTCTTGTGAAAGAATGAACCACAACCACCCAGTGCAATTCATGTAGCTCTGCACCAAAGCCTGAAGAACTATGCCCCAGGGGACAACATAACAATGGGGCTGGAAATCATAGAACTTTACTGCTGCAATGGTTTATGCTCAGCCTATGATCCTCACCCCACCAGGACCACTGCGGGTTTCTCCAGACATGAAAATAACGTTTTATGTTACTGGTCCTGAATGAATCAGGGAAGACATCCAGGTGTGTTCCAGGTTGACTGGAAACAAGGGGAATATTTTCTCTCATTCTCTCACCAGCTACTTAAAAATACTATTTACTTTGGTGCTGCCAGTCAATGCGTATGGTTCAAAAGCTGTTCTTTTTCTTTTCTTAACTCCAGCTCTGATGGGATAAATTTTAATCGATATGCTCTGCAGCATTAACAAGGGGACAAACTCTGTCCATATTTATACCCCTATAAGGAAGATCAGGTAGTGGTCCTATGCATATTTCTTAAAGGATATACAGTTAATATAGTATGATGTACAGTTAATGTAGTATAGAGTAGATTGATTCAAGTCTGCATGACACTCAGTATTATATTATTGATGTCTGTTATGTCAAAATTTGAATATTAAGAGCTACTCCTCTCTAACTAAAACACTGATTAATCCTTCTAAGTATCCTAATGTTCAAAGGCATCTATCGGTGTTCTGACTGGTTAGGTAGGGTATTTTGAAAAGGCAGTGCAAGTACCACTTTTAGGATGTATGCATTCTGCAGTACGCTGTGAGATAGCAGCTCAATGATTACAAGTTTGACAAAGGTCAGGCTCAAATACAGTGCTTCTCAGGTGCCTGCCAGAAGGCAGCTGGTCATTGTACGCTGCTAAGTCCAAAACAGATAATAGACTATAATTAAGTATCGTTCTGGAGCCATCAAATCCATCTATTCTGCAAGAAAGGGAAATCCCCTCTCAGGGATTTTATAGTTTCAGGGCTATTTATTTAAACATATTTTTAATGGATACTTTTACTAATAAAAATAAGTATTATGTCTTAGCCTTCCAGCAACACTACTTAATATCCTATTACCAGTTCCAGTCACAGTAACCATTATGACTATTTAAAATGGCATAATAAGTAATAAAGAAAGGATTTTTTAAATGTTTTATTAACTATTTCATAATACCCTCAAATGTGCTAGACTTTTACAGCTATAAGGACATAAGAAAATTTAATCCACTTACTTAAGGTTTTGGGGAAAATTCAGTTGCCAGCTAGTATTAAGTATAATGATATCCAAATAAGCTTTCAGAATGAAACACATTTACATGTTCTACCATAGTAAATTTATAGACAGCAAACAAAACTAATTACCTCCAGCATTAAGGATTCACTTACCAATTATTAACATGAGCATAAACAATAAACCCAAGTTTTATTACAGCGCTTAAAAAATAAATCCAGTAATAGCATTAGCCTTAGATTGCCACAATAATTTTGCAAGTATTCAGTCCAAATTACTTAATTTTTTTTTTTTTACCCAATGTTCTCCTTCTAGTTATTAAGTCCCCAGTTCTCCACTGTTCTTGTCTTGGTTTGTTATGCTTTCCAGAAATCTCCAGACTATGTTACAATTACAAAATAGGAAGATTTTGTCCTGGTAGCTTGACTTAAAACTGCCACAGGGCAGCTTCATAAAAAAATTACTCTTTAATGTTTGTACAGTGGGCATCCATTCTTGGCCACAGTCCTGAAATTAGTTCCCTGTGAGGAAGGCTCACTTAACTTGTTTCTCCTGATTTATAAGGCTGGGTTAGTTTGGAATTTTATATCTGCATCCTACAGTATA